TCTTCGCTTTCACTATCTTGACCGTCTGACGAAGTCTCGTACGAGTCTAGAACATCGAAAACATCCTGCCAATATTCAAGAGTATCCGAGCCCGGTGTTTCCTGGTGCTCAATAATGTGGTTTTCTTCGAGTTCTTCGATAGTGACGGCAGGAACCTCGTCACAGTTGCCTATGCGCTTTCGCTCAGCTGCAGCTGCAATGCGCTTCGATTCGCTGCGCGCCTTCGTATCCATATCAGCTTTATCAAGCAGCCGAATTGCTTGACAAATTAGCGGGAACTTCCGTGCCTTTTCAGCAGCCATCCTGTTCCTCAGTGTCGTATGAATCGCTGCGAGCTCGCTGAAATATCTTTCACATGTGGCCGTGTTAACCGCGATAGATAGAATAACTGCCGCAAGTTTGGGTAATTTTGAATTCGGCCTGACGTCGCCAGCAAAGCTCCAGTACTGTCCTACACTTCCATTACAGCGAACAAGAGATCTGTCGACAAACATACCGCGGTACCAAGCATGGAGATCAGCAGCCAGACCCTCAACATTTTGCTCGTGTTCGGTAGCAACATATCGTCGGTAGTAATAGATCCCATAACCACAAAGTCGCTCGAGCAAGCGTAGTGTCGGCGCTTCTTTATGCATTGCTACTGCAACTCGAACATGCCTAGGATGCAAGAAAAGTGCCAACAGCACCAATGGCTGCTCGCACTGCTGCCACCGCTTCTCAACCAATGATACGAGTCCCAAGTTATCAAAATCACTAAGGAATCCACGGTATATATCGCGATATGATACCACAACATCCGCGAGTGTGTTTTCATCTCGTTGTAACTTATAGGAAACATTAGAAAGGGACGGATAACTTCCTCGGCAGCTGATATTTTTCTCCAAAAATCTGAATCACCAAAGACGCGGAACGGTTCAGGGAAATCGTCGTTATTGCCGTAAAGTATGGCAAATTGAAGTAGTGCGGTTCGGACACGCAAAATCGACGCGAAACAGCTTGCATGCTGCTCCATCGCGTTTCACAAAGATTGATAAAACCCAATTGTTTTCCGTAGGTTGTAGAAACAATGTTTTGAGCTCTCACCAAGCACTTCGATGAAGAAGCATTTAACGTTACAGTTGCCAGCGAAGCTTGTTTAGTCACCTTGCGAAACAACGTATTCAAAACCGCTTTCACCAAGTTGTTTATATCGTGAGCGAAGCAGTGTACAAATACAGTACGAGGGTGACGGAGCGCTAGAATACGTCAGGCTCGACCACACTGACCTGCGTTGTCGGTTACAACTGCACCGATCTCCCATCCCTTTGACTTGATCTCAATCATAACGTACTCCATTTGTTCCGCAATTGCAATGCCGTCATGTCTTGAGCCGGTAGGAAATAGTCCATAAGTCACAATTGTACCAAATAAAGCTAGCATACACTCCAACAAGTGCAACTTTGCAATATTCTGCCACACATCAGGCAGGAAGTTCAGTCGTCCTCCGCTGAACTCGAGTCTGTTGCTCAGTGCCAGGAGCTGGCCCTCTTCTTCTACGTTGCTGTACTTGTCCAAAATACGAGTCAATTGTTTACGTTTCGGAATAGCACGGGCACATGCCTTGTTCAGAAAGATGAAGATACGCAACGTTGACAGCTTTTCTACACAGCGATCTGGCAAGCAGTTATCGGCTTGAAATTGGATGAGCAGACGCTCAGACTCTTCGAGCTCGTCCTCACTAAATACCTTGTCAAAGTACTTACGGATAAGCCGCTGGTGCTTGTCAGAACTTGTAGACGAAACCTCTTCGACCACGGTGTTAGATCGTGCTGCGTTCTTCTTTAAGAAGCGCGTGAAAGCGTCTGGGGAACCTGTGGCGGCGCCACTACACCGCGTTTAACGACATCTTGGTAGTATTTGCAGCGCTTGAGATGATTTGTGTATGTAGTTGCTCTTCCGACCACGATCTTGGGTGCGGGTGGGTCGTCGTTTCGTGCTTTATCTCCGTAAGCGGCCAGACAATGTTTGCACACAAGCTGCGGCCTTTTTCCTATATCGGGTAAGCCCGTTTTAGCCAACTGCTTCCTCTCAAATCTTTGGGCACGCCCCATTGTGTTTTCCTTTGTGACTTGGAGTGAAGTGCAGACAAAACGCGAGAGAGGGACCCACCGTCGACCACAGTGCACTAGCCGTATAATAGCACCCGAAAATCAGCTATACGTCCAGACGTACATAGTATACAAATTGCCGATCGGCTTTATCGTGCTTCTGAATCGGCTTTTTGGATCTGCCTTTGCGGCTTTATTTTACAAATTCACTTTAAAGCAGAAAGGCGATAAAGCCGATTCCATTTCGGCTTTATCCACACTGGGGAAACCCCAACATTATCGAGGGGGAGTACTGTACAGGGATTTGCAGAAGATTTGCTGTAGTACCGTGGTTCATGAAAGGGGTGAAATGCCTCTTATGACGGCCCTATGACTTGACCTTCTATAGTTCTATATAGCCAGGTCAAAAGTGCCCGTTCACGAAAGGGTTAATAGCCTGCAATATTTCTATATTACTGGTTTGCAAGTTTAAGTTCCTCAAATCTGATTGGTAGAAAACCCTGCAATCCGGTAACTGTGGGAGCCACAAATAGTGTGGCCGGAAAATGATCATTTAAATACATTAATGCATTATTGTTTTTACTTTAAGTCTGGAATCACTGTCGACAAAGATTCTCAATTATTAGGCAGTTGCTGGGAGCACGTGTAGGATAAGTGGTTAGAAAGTACCCTAGTTTGGGCAATATGCTCGCTTGCTACATGTTGCATCTTGAATTGTCGGCTAATGGTCATGTTGGTATTGTAGAGTCGAGAAAGGACACGATACGGAGGGACCTCTAGTGTCATGGCTTCTGGGGCTTGTGGTGGAAGCAGCGAAACTACAGGTGAAGCAGCTTTCCTTCCACAAGCCCCAAAGCTGTACTGACCCGA